CTCGCTCCGCCAACCTTATCTTGGCCGCAAGTGAGTGCCTTCACTGGTCATTTTTCCTTTTTGTGGACATTTTTCCACTTTCTGCGCCAGAGCGTGCTTCTCGAGCTGAAAATATGTATTGCTATTGCGTCAAGTTTGGAAGCGTCGCCTGGCAAGAATCTAGCGATGGCCAGGATGAAGTCCTGCTGACGCGGTCTTGCTATGAAGCCTGCCAATCTTTTGTGGTACCCGAGAGGGATAAGTGGCGGAACTGACTGTGGCTTACCCAAGAGTTCTATGGGAAGCAGCCCTGGCGGAAACATCTTGGAAGCTCCCAGTGAAGTTGTATTAAAAGCTCTTCTCTCTTGCATTGGAGTCTGGTTTATGCCAGCTGCCGTAATGTACAGGTCCGAGAGTTGAAAGGACTCAGTCCTACCTTGTGCGTCAAGACCGGAGTTTTTGATCCGCGGGAAAACTGAAAAAGAAAGCCAAAGTTCAATCCACGTGATTCCAGGATCACGCTCTTGGCATGTTTTTGGCCACTGGAGCTGGTCAGCTCATAGCGCAACTCTATGGGACCACGTGGGACCATAAAGCATACTCTGGGCGTTATGCTCTTTTATTTCCCATGGCGTCACTTCCCTTGCTTCTTGGATGCTCCAGTTTTTCAATTTGTCCAAGTACGCCGCTCTAGTGTCAGTTGATGCCGCTGCTGTGGTGTCATTTTGCGGAAGTCGCGTATTTTTTATTCGTGCAACCCCCAGGTCTCTTTTTTGTTGATGACATATGGGTCGTACTGAGCACCAATGGTATGGGTCGTACTGAGACTAATGTCACCACAGTCGAATTTGATAGCTGCTTTGGCGGCCTCGTCTGCCGAGAGATTGCCTGAGTGGTGGGTATCCGTTCAGTGGGTCCTTGATGGAATCGAGATGAACAAGTAAATTAAATTTCTTAATATCAATCGGCTTATCCGGGTGAGATCTCAAGTAATTGCACATTTGTTGCACGATGTCGAAGTCTGGTGACCTCAGGTACAACGCTAACTCGGGTCGGTTCATCATATCCGACAACTTGCAGTGCCTATGGCGTATGTGCTATCTTGGATCTTGGAATATGCCTTACAAATGGCCCACAGTTCTGCCCAGTTCACGGTTTGGGATCCCTGGACTTTACCCATATGCAGCACCTTAAGAGTGTTGGGTTTGTCGCCATTGATCCATCTTTGACCCGCCCATGTCCTTGCTTTGTTTATGTACCACTCATCGGCCACTATTGCGCAGGCCACATCGGCCACTTCTGGAGTATTCCCTCTTATCATAGAGCCGTCAGTATACAGCACTCATGGGAGTTCCGTGGGATGGCAATCCTCAAAGTGAAGTGCGGGCCTTAGATTTTGGATTTGTTGAAGTTCCTCTGGCGGGTGTGCAAGTTTCAAGATTGGAAGCAGTATCTGGGTCACAATTAGTGCGCCAGCGTTTCCGAGTAATTATGTCTGACCTCCAGGGTCTTTTCGCACTCCAAGGCTCTATGTTTTACGTATCAGGACTGCTACACAATTGGCGATTACCGTGTACGTCTTGAATGAACTTTGATTTTTGGATTTTGGTGTAAAACCTCCCACCAGATCGGCCGTGTTTTTTTTTTTTTTTCGGGCAGTAATCGGATGTGAGGCGAAGATACCTTCCGGGTCTCCCAAACAGAGGGGCATGGCATCTCTCCAGTGGTCCCTGTTTTTGGTGCTTGCCTCGACTTTGGCATGACATGTATCAAGGAGATGTTCCTTGCGTTTTTGATGCTATTAAAATTATCCTGATTCAGACTCCAGCCGAGATGCTGCAGGGACTTTGAGAACATTCCTGCCGGGCCATAAATATTGACCTTGTGATGCTTGACTTGTTGAACCGTTTCCAAAAATTATTTTTGAAAGAAGGGCCCCCCTACGCCCTCCCCCAACTGGCTCACCCGCGCGCCTTTGCACAGGCGATGAAGCTGGGAACCCAGAAAGGCCAATGGTCTTGCCTTTGTGCAGTCTGAAGGCTGGGCCAACACACACGCGCCCCCACATTGCATTGCACTAGGGGTCCAATCAGAATGTTCGGCTAAGAGCACAGCTGGGGTTGGTGCGTCCCGACGTGTCAAGATCTGACCTCGATACACCTGTGAATGCCGGTTGCAACGGAAGACTCGCATGCACACACTACGTCCATGGACCTGCGCGATGCACCCAGATCCTGGGTAAAGACGTTTGGATACTTCAACCTCCGCACGTCCAGGCTTCAGTCCTATTGGCTCTGGCTCGATGAGGAATTCTCGGAACCACCTGAGCTCAGCTCTTTTTGCACAAAAGGCTCGCCATCTTTGTACACGTCAAGTGATGCTTTCAAACAACCAACCTAGTCCGCACACAAAAGAGACTGGAAACAACGGAACAATGAAACGTAGCGTCCATCTGTAAGAGCCGGGGGCCTTGCGGCTGCTGGAAGGCTTCCCGCAGGACCTGCCGATCCAACAGGCATGTGCCACGCTGACCATGCAGAACCATCCCTCTTGCTGCTTACAGGCCAGAACCCTGGCATCCCTGGCCTTGTGGGTGTGCCGCAAAGAGTGCGGCTCAGTGCTGTCATGCAAATGCCCGAGCCGGCCACATAAATCCTGCCACGCGAATTTTGACTTGACAACGGCCGTGATTGTGGCAAATCATAGATCTCAACGCCACCAACTCCCAGATCGCCAATGACGTCCAACGGATCTCTTTCTACAGTTCTTGGGTGGAAGTGCTTAGAAGGGTCTGCCTTGGACTTCGCTGCAGCAGTTAGAGTCAGGTCTGTTCAAGCAATGCTCTTCCCAGGAGCCGGAAAGAACTTCGTACTGAATCATACTCAATTTCTAACAACTCCGCGTGGTGAGTCCTCTGAGATCAAGTCTGGCCTGGTTGCGGCCCACTGGCCGAGCCTTGATCACTCAATCCGTCCGTCTGGCGGAAAGGGGGGGGGAATTGAGACATGCATTTAGCAACATAGAGCAACCAGCTGGTCCACAGATTCAAGGCCCCGTGCTTCACGAAGACTGGCCCACTTCGTTGAACCTCGAGCCAGGGAGGGTTCCATGGCGTTTCATGCGTTCCCCAGCTGCTTTGCACTCACAGTACTGCGGCAGTTACACTCAACACGGTCTGATTTGCTGTTTGACGCCTGAGATCAAGACTCGTCGTAGGGCCACTTCCCACCAAGCATCAACCTGGTTTACGACGAGGTGGGTGCATGCTGGCGTATGGAACCCGTCAAGAAGCGTTTGAAAACGTGTTTGCGCTCTTTTTGGGCCATCACCCAAGTGACCACATCTGTCTCTGGCCTGCCAATCTGCCAATCCACTCAAACAGTTGATGTGCTCTGCGGTTGCCACGCGCCTGCTGCCCTTCAGGCCCTTCGCAGCTTTGGGCGGGGAAAGCCAGTCCTGGTTACTCGCCAACTCGCCAACTCGCCAGACTTGAGAGACTTGCGCAGAGCGGCAGCCACTGATGCCACAAGAAGAAGTGGAGCCAGTGGAAGGTAAAGCCACCTGAAGACATCAAGCATGCGTTGCACAACGTAAGAGAACTGACAAGAAGTCCAAGAAAATGTCGAATAAGCTTCAGGCATCAACTCTACACATCGGCCTGCAACCTCCACAAAATGGCAAGCGTGCACATTCGCTTGCAGAGACCAACTTGTAGCATCACTCATGGTTGCTAGCAGATGTCAGGCATGTACATACAAAGTGTTTTGTCAAGACGTCGAATATCTGCTGGACATTCACACACACACAATCAAGCGCACCGTCCAACTCAAACACGCATACACACAAACTACATACAGTTGAACACGCATGCCATATGTACATTTACAAGCTCATACGTCCACACACACACACAAACACAGGCGTGCACACGCGCACGCGCACGCGCACCCGCACAAATGCACACATGCACACATGCACAAATGCACAAATGCACACATGCACACACATGCACACACACATGCACACCACACCACACCACACCACACCACACCACACCACACCACACCACACCACACCACACCACACCACACCACACACACACACACGCGCGCGCCCGCACGCGCACACACACACACAAAGAGACACTAGCCACAAACACGCCACCACACACACAATCACAGAGACACACACACACACCCACACCCACACCCACACACCCACGCACCCACCCACCCGCCCGCAAGAATCTAGTGTACACGCATCGCTTATTAGATTAGAACATATACAAAAGACTGGTGTTTCGCATCGGGCTGCTTGATTCAACAATGGAGCCTTCAGCGCAAAGCCCACCTTGCTGTGTAGCCTGCGGCCGGCTACGGGTCGCTACTGTCTCCGGGACAGTTGAATTCACAGGCGCGCCTGCCCAAAAGGATAAAGACCAGCAGTGCCTTGCGCAATCTCGAGTTGCGCAATCTCGAGAATCTTGCAAGTTGCAGTTTGAGAGAAACATCACTGAGAATCCAACAGCTGTTACGATGAGCGAAAGGGAGAGGACGCCCACATGCGGCCTGTCCTCAGCCGTGCTAGCAAGCAGCCAAACAAGCTGCATCCATTTCGCGTGCCACGGAAATGCCGTGCTGAGTCGCCCGCCGGAAACATGGTATGCCAAGCCATGCCGCTATCAGCGAGAGGCTTGCACTATGTTGTTTCTCCGCTGGATACCACATCTAGCTACGTCAAGTTCCAAGTTCTAATAGCTTCCGCATAGCGTCTTTGGCTCTACTTGCGCGCGCCATGATCTAGAATCGATCAGGGTGTTAGAATGCGCCAGCTGCGTTGCACACATTTCAGCGTCATGAACGCTTTGGGTAAGCTGCCAGCCAAGTGATTGATGAATGCAAAGCAAGCAAAGTCAGCAATTTCAGGGTCACGGCAAGTGCAAACAGTGCAAACACATTTCTGCTGTCCTGACATACATGACATCCCCTTCTTGGGGTGTCTACAGGCAGGAACCCACGCGATCATTGTCTTGCAGTGTCACGTTGCCAACAACGTCTCTTGGGATCTTGCCTAACCTGCGATACTTGCTTGCTGAGATTGCCGGGCTTGGCGTTTCGTGCCTGCTCAGTGCTTCCACACATCAGTATGAAGGCGAAGAGGCACCCTGGCACCGGTAAACAGGGTGAACAGCTAGCTCAACTCCAGCCACAAGCATGAAGCGGCGTGCCGCAAGTGGCATGAGAGGCGCCATTGGGTATGGAGAGGCCTCAGCTTCGCTGCTCCCACAGAACTGAAATGGCATGGCGCCAGCTGGGTAGCTCACTCCAAGTGCCACCGGTGCAGGCTGGTCCTGAACGTCAGCTTCAAGAACAGTCTAATCATGCCGGCCTTTGACTTAAAGAAGAGATGTGAGCAATAAAATATAATGTAATATGAGCAAGTGATGCAGACATGGGCGCCTCCCATTTTGCAAGAGGCAGCTCCGGCAGCCCATCCACGTTGCGCTTGCCAACCTCACAGCCCAAAGCTGACAGCCCACGACGAAATCCCGAAGCCTCCCGAAGCCCTATTGGTACTCCATTGCTTTGGCAGTGTCAAGTTGAGTTTACCGTCTGCATGACGGTGCTAAGCACAGGTGATCCCAAGCATGCAAGGCCGCTGCCATGGTGTGCCGCAGGGCCAGGTGCTTTTGAAGCTTCTCCTGTTGCATCATCTGTTCCTGCAAGCGTTCGTTCGCATGCAACAGCCATGAAATGGATGCATGTTTCGCGGTCAGCTGCCCTCCAGTGACGACCAAGCCGTGTCTCCTCGAGACTTCGCACTCTGAGTCCCACCTTCTGCTCTGCCTGCAGCTTGGGACAGGCTTAATAACACAAACCTCAGCAACCACCGAGCAAAACAACTCATGGGCGCTGACTTTTTGCGCGCGTGCTGCTTCCACTTCAGCTATTCGCAGATTCGAAACCTGCTTTCAGCTTGCTTTTATCGCCATACCTTTGGCATACTACATGGTGTCCGCGATACAGTCCACTTGGCAACAGGTCCACTCTTCTCCAATCATCAAACATATTGGTTTCCATACAGCACCACGGACAAATTTCTGCCAACCCAGCCGCGGCTTGGGCAGGATCAGCTTCGCCGCTAAACAAGTGGAATGAGCAAAGGGCCATTCAATGGATAACCAATCTTCAGCTGTCTCAGATTGGAGCAAATGGACAAAGCATCTTGAAGACATGTTCGACTTGCAGCCCAGCAGCTGGTTGTGTCGCTTGACAGGAGGGTCGGATCGTCGCTGATGAGGACATTTGTCTTGGCCTGACGCAGTGGAACTACGTGTCCAAATTCTGTCCAGCCCTCTTGTGCGTCACTCATATCCAACAAATGCTGGTCACTGACAAATGTAGATCACAACGCCAACTGCGAACGAGAGAACCACGTCAAACACCGAATTGTGAAGAAAAAAAACCCAGCGGCAAGCATTCGTTCTGGCAAAGTTCAGCTATATGCTCCATTTAAGCTTGCGAGGCAGGAACCCCAAAGCAAAGGCTTGAAAGGAGGCTCATGGCCCGCCTCAAGAAGCTCCAGGTCATTGCCTTCTGCCAGACCAGCCTTCTCCCAAGAAGTTCGCTTCCAGGAGACCTGTCTGTCCCCCCAAGCTGTGCCTGTTTGGACAGCTTGACAAGTAATCGGGCGCAACAGCTATGTTTTTCTGCAAAGGGATGGCCAATCAAACCCTCCGGACATGTTCAGCCCTGTTCCAGTGGCAGCGATGTCCTTTGAATTTGAAGAGGCAACGCTTTTCCAAGAACAAATGCATAAAGTGGCTTGCCATCCAACACAGAAGGCAAGAGCCGTAGGTGTGGTTCAACAAAGCTCACACCATGTCTTCTACAGCATCCGTAAATCAGGGCATATCAACAGAGTCCAGGTGGCATTTTTGAATGTATGACTTCAAGGGCCATGAGATCCCTGTTTTGTCTGATCCAAGACGGGTGCAAAACGGGGCTGTCCGATTGCAGCTCACGGACAGCTTCCGCGAGGCCTGCTCTTGGCTGAGAGGTTGCAGGGTCAGCTCGCCGCTGGCAGAGCGCATGAGCTCTCCTACAAGGGTGACCTCAGGTGGTCGCGAAAGGAAGGTCGCTTCGGAGGACACGCCAGTCGCTGCAAATATCAGAACACTTCAGAAGCACACCGGGCTCCCCGCTGTGGCTCCCGTAACCAGGCAGCATTCATGAAACTCCACCGCGGTGCCTGAACACAAATAGTCAGCTTCGAAAGTGTGAGATATCTGACCATTGTCTGAGATTCTTGCCCTTTGCTCTGAGCTCATTCTCCAACGCGTGATTGTCAGAGGAACCGGTGCCTACGCTACATGTCCATTGCACAAATCAGTTCTTGGCAGTCGAAGGAACGCTCAGGATCAGCCTGCCGAGGAGAGGTGGACAGACACAAAGTCTTGCCTCAGCCCAAGGATGGTTCCCAAAATCATGGTCACACCGCGGGACAAAGCTTTGCAGTATCTTCTCTCTGGAACAAGGCTGTCACCAGTGCTCTGGAGCACAAGGGAAAGGCAGAACCTGGCCAAGCAAATGCACAACAAACGAAAGCACACTCATCGGGAAACGACAATTCTCAATTCAACGGCCCCTGATGATCTTCACAGCTCAGCAATAGCTGAACCAGGTTGCGGGCCTCTGCAAACTCACACTCGCTGGTGGCAAAGAGGTTCACCTGCAAATTGCAGCGCCGCGCGTTTTTGCACCAAGGCTAGGGGTTGTGATAGCTCACAACTCGTCAGGAAGGAATGCCCGGAACCCCAGCTTCTCAACTAAGCTCTGCTCAACTAAAAACAAAAAAACAAAGCTAGCCAATGCGAGGCATCGCCTGAATCGACTGTTGGTTTCATTTCCAGAGCAACGAGCATCCCTCGCCTCAGAGCCGGCTACTCGGATGGCGACGCGAGGCGTGCCCAACAGCGTCACCGTGAAGTCCACGTGTTGCGATGCAAAAGCCACTGGCAGTGGCATCCCTGTGACGCAGAGGATGTCTTTCAGGTTGTGAAGCAACACAGCTGAAGGCTGCAAAACAAGGTCTCCCCTATGAAAGGCTCAGCGCGGGCTATCGTATACACCACGGGTTTGCTGAAACCGGCCTCCGTGGACCTTGCGGGAGGCGTGGGCCTTTGGCAAAGGGCGCATGGCTACTTTTGGCACAGGGTGATGCCGTGATGCCGTGATGCCCTGTGAGCTCTCCAATGACTCGAAGCCGAGCCAGCGACGGTGTATAACACGCACGATCGCCGAGTCAGTGGTGAGAGCAGTGGTTCCGCATCCTGGGCCAATGGGCCCGGCTTACGCAGTGCGAAGCTGCCAAATGTGGCATGACCACTTCACTGATTCCAACTCTATTCCAACTCTGAAACTCGCGTGACAAGGATCGCAAAGGAATACAAAGGAATACAAAGGAATGCAAAGGAATGCAAAGGAATGCAAAGGAATGCAAAGGAATGCAAGGGATTGTGGCCACCGCACCTGAGAATCCTCTATGATGGCCTCAAGCCGGAGAAGCCTCAGTGAAACTCGGGATAGACTCTACTTTCCCGAATGCAGCAACTTTGTAACTTTGTGTATGTTTCAAGGCTGATTGAACCGCCTCTCTCTCATCAAACACTGGGTAGGATACTGTCGACTACTCATCGGCTTGGAAAAGTTGACATCGTAGCCTCCAGTGGAGGGCAGAAGCTGCTCGACCTCAGCCCAAGGTCTTGGCAAACTTTCCGGACGGATTTTTGCCAGTATTGCGAGAGCCGTCCCGCCCAAACAGAAAGCATGCTTCGTTGAGGTCACCATGCTTCGATTTACAAGGGTCGTGGTGCAAACATATTCTTGTTAAACAGGAAAAGGGTGCAAAAAAGGAATGCATGCTTCAGACCGAGGCCATTAAAGTCAAAGGACGCCCTTTCCCCCCCGCCTCTGCTGCCGCGCTCACCGGCAGCGCCTCAATTCGACGGCGAAGGCCAGAGGCTGGCTCCTCCTGGCGGCAGAAGAGCTGACAACCGTGAGAACGCGAGAACGCACAATTGCTCACGGCAAGCTCCTTGTCATCTTTGCTAAGCCTGAGCTGGGTCACTGCCACGGGCGGATGAGTGGGGCAAAGGTTTTAGCTGCTAGGCTATAAGTCTCGGACTTCCTGACGCTGGCGCATGGGGCAAGGCCTTCCACGAAGCTTGCCTGGCAAAGGGTAATGCAACGCACGAAAGTGTCTGTACGACAATGTTGGAGTTGCAGCAGTGCGGAGTATTTTTAAGAGCACATTTGAAATGCAAAGTGAGGACAATGAGAGCACGACGTCACATACCCCAATGCCAAACTCAATCTAATGTCAACAATTACAGCCACCACAGAACACGCATGGGGACAAGACTGCCTTTGCAAGCTGAGAATGCTACTGTCAGCTGCTCTGAGGTAAAGGCCAAGCTCTTTGGTGCGTCTTTCGATTTTGCGGCTGGCTCGGTGTCTTTTCTCTCCAGTGGCTCCTGTCAGCTGCGTTCTGCAAAGCCGGCAAGGCGGCCCTCGGGCCATCGCATTCAGGTCCTGTAGCTCACTTCCTGTGGGCTCAGTGGAAAGGCCTTAGCCAAGGGGGAAGGACAGCATATGGTTTATGACACTTTCTGGCTGCTCTATTCTCAGGTCTGTGCTGACGTGTGACAAAACACTCTTGATCACTTTATCTGCCTTGCAGAAAACAGCAGTCAATAGCACACAACAAAGTCCTGAGTAGGCCGAGCCTTGGTGACTGCCAACAGCATGAAGACCAAAGCCATGCCCAGGAGGGAGCACCTGTGACCGAGCTCGACAATCTAGCATTCGGCCAGTAGTAAATTCACCCTGAGTTGTGTATACATGTGCATGTATACGTTGCGGAACTTCAACTGCATGTGAGTTCATCTTGGAAGCTCACAACTTTGCTTTTCCTTGTCTGGTGCCTTTGCGATAGAACGGACAACTAAGGACCACATGTTTTGCCATAGGTCTGCTTGGTGAGATTCGCTGGTGCTATGACAGCATGTAGGCCTTCTCGCAATCGCCATCATCTGTGTCACAGGGTCTCTTATATTTGAGGCGCGGTCGAAATTACTTACTTGCGGCCGCTACTTAGTTTGAGAGTCCCCTATCGTTTCCAGCGTTTCCATCCTCATGCTTTTGCGGGGGTATCGTTTTCTTGAGAGTGTCCTAGCGTTTGCCATGGTTTTGTGCATTTTCGCAATATCAATGAAACACCGAATACTAAACTCAACAGAAGTAATTTTGACGGTACTTCATTTCTGTTATGCACGTCATATGGTTGATCCCCAACAAGTTTTCATGACTTGTTGCGTCCGTGATCGTCTTGGTCTTCCCACCCTTCTGTGGGCACTGTTCTTGGTACGAAGGAGTTAGCACATGTGACCCGATGTTGCGGGTGGCGTGGTCTTCTTATGACAAGACCCAGGAGTTTAAGCCTTTTCTCAGACACTACTTTAGTGGGCGAACCTTCCTCTGGCAATTCGGAACATTTGTGTCCATCCATCGCCTCATTCGCCCTGAGATAGGCTTCTTGGTTTGTGCTAGCTCTGTTAATGTATGTAGTCTCCATACACTGAATCTCCCTTAATCCTTGAGTGAGTCGGAACGTGTCCACTTGGCGAGGTTGCTTGTTGCTTCCAAGGCTTCTAAACTGTAGAGCATCTTCGAAGTGCAAACTTAAGAGTTTGAATTGCAGGCAACCTCTGGAAACAGTAGAATAATTATTTAGCAACAAATAGCAACACAATTAGCAAATTTAAATGGCACTGGAACTATATTTTTTGCAAATGCGTTCGCCAAGCGCTGGCCAAGATTAGCAAAAATTAGCAAAAGTTAGAAACAAAAATAGTAACAATTAGCAACAATTAGCAAAAATTAGGCAACCCTCTCGCAAAATGAGCTTCCAGGCGGCCAAGACCACGAGAGGGTTGCTAAATATTGCTTTTTTGCAAATGTGTTCGCCAAGCGCTGGCCAAGATTAGCAAAATTAGCAACCCTCTCGCAAAATGAGCTTCCAGGCGGCCAAAACCACAAGAAGGTTGCTAAATATTGCTATTTTTTGCAAATGCGCTCGCCAAGCCCTAGTTAATATTTGCAAGAATTAGCAAACATTAGTAAAAGTTAGTAAAAAAATCGCAAAAAATAGCAACCCTCTCGCAAAATGAGCTTCCAAACGGCCAAAATCACGAGAGGGTTGCTAAATATTGCAATTTTTTGCAAATGCGTTCGCCAAGCGCTAGCCAAGATCAGCAACAATTAGCAAAAAAAAGGTAAAACAATACAAAAATTGGCAAACAATAGCAAACCCGCTCAGTGAAGGAGGTCAATCATTGTTGCAGGAGCAATGCCATTCAGCATTGACTGTTGCTGCCGTCACTAATTGAAATTGCTGAATGAAAGCCCAGCTCAAAGCTGTTGCAATCTAGAAGTGCAAAATGGAAATCCACCTGACCTCGATTGCAATTCCCCTTTGCAATTCAATATACATTTTTGTTGCTCAAAAAAATCCTGGAGACCCCTTCAGTGGTTGCCAGTCTCCCAACTCTTAAGTGCAAACTGCATCGTATACCTGCATGTTCCATTTTCTTCGGCACAGCTGCTTGCTTCCAAAAAAGATCCCGTTTCCAGTTTCCTGAACACCGGCATTGTCATTCGGAGATTTACTTTTTGGCCATTTGTGTGCCTATATGGGGTGACTCTTCTCTTCGCTTAAAAGTTGTTTGTTGATCTGATCATCGCATCATCCGCGAACACCAGTTCTCGGAAGTTCATGTTTTGTACTTCGCTTCTATTATTGGGTCTGCGTTGCTTCGGTAAGTATCCCAGAATATCACATGCATTAGAGCAGAATTAAACAGGAACGGGCTTAGTGGACATTCTTGCCGGACCCCGTGCATTGTTTCTCCAAGTCACTTGTTCTATTCGTGTGGTTTGCTCTAAAGCATGGTCTAGCGTTTCAAGCTTTGATATTATTTAGCATGTGCGCGTGAATTATGAGTCTTCTTAGCGCCTCCATCAAGCGATTTTGGCTTACCTTGTCAATTGTGTTTTCAAACCAAAAAGGTCGTGTGATGTTGTCAGTGCCTGCTTCTGCCAAATCCTGGAGCCTTCTCATACAAAAAGTGGCTCTGCTGTGCTTCTGCCCAGTCTGAACCTGAACTGCGCGTCATGCAGAAGTTGGTCAGTCGCTAGTGCCGAGTCGCGTTTTGAGGACTTTCACCATGAATTTGTATGACGCGGTTAACAACGCAATCGGCCGGTAGTTTTCTGGCAGCTTCGAGTCGCCTTTTTGTATATGGGAGCAACTTCTGCATTTGCAAACTGCAATAGAGCTATTCAAGTCCCACAAGATCTTTGTGACTGTTGCAACTTTGCGTCCGTCCGACACATTATAAATTTGTTTACCACTCCATCGGGCCGCAGGGCTTTGTTTGGCTTTTACACCTTTGTTGCTTGGCTCACTTCATATGTGTTGGTTGGATCGATATTGTTTTCTGCCCTCTTGTATCTCTCGATTTGAACAACGCAGGTATGTTGTGTCCAATTGACTTTACTGTGTGTTTTCCTGAAGACATATTAATCTCCACGCTGTCTTGCCTGCGGTTACTTTCCTCTCGATTTTTGTGTTCATTCGCCTCTCTTCCTCCACCTCGCCTCTGATTCTGGCATCCTGTCTTCTCTGGAGAAGCTCCCCTCCGCGAGATCTTTGATCTTTATGTTTCTTGTGTCAGGCAGTATCGGCAGCTTCTGCTTTTGCGCGTGTTAAGCTTTCAATTTTGTTCTATCCTTTCCAAGCCATTCTCAAGCTGAAATCGTGCACGGACAGCGTTGTTGAAATTAGCCAGCGGAGGTCGGTTTGATTCTCTTGTATCGCCGCAACATGGCGTGATGAAGCACCAGCACGCATGTGCTGTCTGAACTCCGTATCGAGTATCGTGTGTGTGTCCTCTATTGGTGTCCAATGTCCAAGGGAGAAAACAAAAACCGAGAATGGATGATTTCACATTTCTTGCTTAAGTGGCCTTTCATGTTCAGCTGATGTATCTGACGGTACATATTGTACACAATTGAAGCGGTCTCAGGCCCCGACACAAGCACGAGCCTCCTTCGATGGGTGCGCGCCTGCAAGACAAAAGTTAGCTGCGCTCGGTTCTCCTCTCCCCGCCTTGGAACCGTGATCGCCGTCTATGCCCAGCCTTGCCATGAGTCGCTAAGTTGACGAGAGCGTTGGCCACTGTGAAGGGTGGAGAAGGGTCAAGCACAGTTGTAATATACAGTCCCGAAGTGACAATAATAAGTCGAAAAGGATGCTTGTGCATTGCGTATACTAGCTGCCATGCTGCGTCCACGCTTCACTTAACAGCGTGTGCTCAACAGTCTCACTATTCCCCTAGAGTTGACCTAAGTGTTGTCATTCTCACAAAGGCCGGACTCTGAAGTCTTCTCCCGCTCCCCAGCCCCTAGCTTTATGGCAAACCATCGTTCAGCCAGTCAACAGCCTTGCAACAAACGTGTCTCCTCAGCAATGCTGTCAGGCAGTGTCTTTCCGCTACAAATGTATTCGCCTGGCCCAAATCACGCCCTCAAAAGGCAAGGATCCACCGCTTTGCAACCATCTCCATGGCCAGCTGGTGCTGCACGCCATCCACCTGGCTGGCCAATGCCACATGGCACAGGGTTAGGCAAAACCCTGTGAGTTTCATCACAATAAACATGCATGTTTACACACATAGCATATTAAGGCTACATTCACCTCATTTTCAAAAACACACATCGCGGACAAAGCAAGCACTTGGCTCTCTTTTGGTGTGGCAGACTTTCGTGGCCCGGAACTCGCTGTAGAGTGACTCAAAGCCCATGTTGAGTCGCACCCATTTGCCCCCCTACGCTGCCTCACGCCGCATGATGGAGGGAGAGGCAAGTTCTGCGACAGCTGCAGCATCTGAATGTCCCTGCAGCTCCTGGGAAGCGGCCGAAATCGTGTCCTTCGCTCCTCGCCTGTCAACACCATC